GCTTAATTGCTGAATACCTTTTTAATTTGTGAATACCTGACGAGATGGTTAAATTTGAAATGATTGCTGATCACGTTCATTTCTATACAGATATGTGATACAAAAAATGTCACTTCGAATGTAATATTACAGAGATGAAATTTTAAATTACTTCGTGACGAATGCAATATTACGGAGGTGGACCTTGGGGGTGGTTTTAAATTGAGATGTATATTAATATTGAAAATTTTATTTGAAACGTGTATGGATTATGAGTATCGAGATTACTCGAACATAAAGAGTTTTTCGTGGAATTGCACTGTTAATCATAATTATCGTCTGCCTTCCGCGTTTGTCCTTAAAATTGTACAGATCGATTTTGCTATATTTTTGAAATGAACTTAGTACATATCAATTACTAAATTTTAGAGCAACAGAAGAAAGCAGAAAAGGAATCACATTAACAGTAGTTATAAACTAGCCTAACTGAAAAGTTGAAGAGGGATGATTATAAGGGATGATATTAAGAAGGACCTACATGTAGACAGATTGTAAACTATAGTTATATTCATACATATTTATTTTTCAAATGACAAATATTAAAACACCAAAAGAAGTTAAAGAAGCAAATTTTTCTTTAAACACCCTCCGTAAGAATTTTTTAAATAATTTCGCCAACAAAGATGGAAATAAAAATGGGTGAAAATAGCAATCGAAGGAAAAAAAGTTTGATTTTCGTTCGGCATCACCGAACATAATTTGGAATAGAGAGGCATATCGGCGAACGAGCGATAAATTTATACGGGGGCGTATAATCAAGCACGGAAAAATGGAATAATTTACCGTCGACACGGCTATGTTTATTATTCCCGCCGCAGTGTTATTTATTTTCTGGCTGTATTTTGAAATTTGCTTTTGGCGAACCAGTTTCGACGATGCCAATATTTGCCCCGTTTCGCACGCGATATAATCCCCTGAATTATGTTCTTTGAAGCGGCCGCCGTTTGTACGCGTGGAAGGGCGCGCGAAAGAGCGTGCAGAAGTACAGAAATCAATCGAGTTTCCATGATTTACCGTCGGCTTATGAAATCGGTTGCAACAATATCGAGAGTCATTTTGACACAGGCGGTTTTCGACGTTTTACGCGGAAACATTGATCTGCCTTTACGCGCCAACCCGTCGGACAACCAGATATCCGAGACTGTTTTTCTTTTGTATTTCGTATATTGCAATTATTAATTTCGTTTTCTTTGCGCTTCCTGTCGAACGTTGTCACCCTTCAGAATTTATATCTCGAAGAATTAAAAATTAAAGTTATGACAATTTTACGAGACATGACATTTTTTGCAATTTTTTGTATTGACTATTGGACAGTTATTTATTCCTGATTTTGATACTTTGCTTTTATACAATTATTTAACCTTTCATGTAAATTTATTTGACTGTCATGTCACCACCATGGTGTTCGATTTTACACATACTTCCCTTAACCTTATTGGAAATTTCCTTATTTTTTACCTTTTGAATTTTATTAATATACATCTAGCATTTAGGTCTAAAATTTTTACAAAGTCATACATTTTACAAATTCCACTCCATTTTCGCTTGGAAAGTAAACACAATGACCACTGTTTTAGCGTTTAATAAAATGATCACTGAAAAACAATCTGTATCAATATTTATGTTGACCCATTATATTTTAAATGCCAGAACCATGTAACAAAATTGTTACAGCAAACCTTTTCACGTTTTATTTTTACTCTCATCTGCTAAATATACTTGCTATTTCATGAAGGATGATCTGACGTGTTCTAAATTTACTTCAACGACTAACTATTATTAGAATGATCAATCCCGAATTAATTACATAAATTTTTTTTTAGTTGTACGAAAAAATTGTCATAATTCTGAACACGTACATCTTCATCTTTCAAAACTCTCTAAAACATTGTAAAATTTATAATCTGCATATAACCTTGCATCTTATATTGCATATAACAGATTACAAACATAACCTATAAATTAATGGTACGCAATATTTCTAATTAATTAATGCAAGCACCTAGCAACGAGAAAGTATGAAATCGTATAAGCATTTTGTAACAACCATAATCTTTCGTTCGACTAACAACCACCATTGTTCTTCCATGAAGCGTCGTAACGCTAAAGAAATTATTTTAGCTTTTCATCCGCGGTGTCGACACGCTCGCGTTTGCATTCTAACTGAACATTCTTAATGATCAGACTGTTCAGAGCGTTAAGAGCTTGTGTATAGTTCGTAGAATGCTTCTTCTGTAATCCCTTCCGAGCGGTAAATTACGAAAGCTCGTTTGAAATCAAGTCTCGGGGGAGAAAAATTACTCGAACGTAATATTTTCCATCCGCCTTTAATTCATCGCGAAATTCTCGCGTCTCAACGTCTTGCCGGGTGAAAACTTCAAGCCGAAATTAAGTAAGCGTGCACCCTTCTTAAATACTCGAAACAAATTCTGTCAATTTGCGTTACGTTGAGAATATCAGGGTGTGGATAGAGGTGTTGGAAAATTCGCAAATTTTGGGATTTGGAAATTTAGAAATTTGGAAGTGTAGGAATTCGATAAGTTGGGAATTTAGGAATTTGAGAAGTTGGAATTTTGGGAATTTAGGGGCGCTTGAAAATTTGAAAATTTGGGGATTTAGGGGCGCTTGAAAATTCGGAAATTTGGGGATTTGGAAATTTAGAAATTTGAAAGTGTAGGAATTCGATAAGTTGGAAATTTGGGAATTTAGGAATTTGAGAAGTTGGAATTTTGGGGATTTAGGGGTGCTTGAAAATTCGAAAATTTGAGAATTCGGAAATTTAGAAATTTGGAAGTTTGGGAATTCGATGAGTTGGGAATTTGAGATCTTGAGAAGTTGGAATTTTGGGAACTTAGGGACGCTTGAAAATTCGGAAATTTGGAGATTTAGGGGCGCTTGAAAATTCGGAAATTTGTGGATTTGGAAATTTAGAAATTTGGAAGTTTGGGAATTCGATGAGTTGGGAATTTGAGATCTTGAGAAGTTGGAATTTTGGGAACTTAGGGACGCTTGAAAATTCGGAAATTTGGAGATTTAGGGGCGCTTGAAAATTCGGAAATTTGTGGATTTGGAAATTTAGAAATTTGGAAGTTTGGGAATTCGATGAGTTGGGAATTTGAGATCTTGAGAAGTTGGAATTTTGGGAACTTAGGGACGCTTGAAAATTCGGAAATTTGGAGATTTAGGGGCGCTTGAAAATTCGGAAATTTGTGGATTTGGAAATTTAGAAATTTGGAAGTTTGGGAATTCGATGAGTTGGGAATTTGAGATCTTGAGAAGTTGGAATTTTGGGAACTTAGGGACGCTTGAAAATTCGGAAATTTAGAAATTCGGAAATTTAGAAATTTGGAAACTTAGGAATTCGAAGATTTGGGAACTCGGGATCTTGAGAAGTTGAAATTGTAGGAACTTATGAGCGCTTGAAAATTCGGATATTTGAAGATTTGAAAATTTGGAACTTGGAATTCTGAAAATTCGCAAAAGTAGAAATTTGGAAATTTAGGAATTTGAAAACTTGGAAATTTGGGGACGCGTGCAAATTCCGCGATGGAAACCCGATTTGTAAAATTAGAAGTATTCCAAAAGTCCCGAAATTTGTTAACTATAAAGCATCCTTCATAAAAATCCGAAAGAAATTTGGTGGCGAATATAATGTGGATAATATAAGCGATAAAAGTGAACAACACGTTTTGTGTGTGATAGAAGACACATATAAGAGAAGCAATGTATTCGCTTTGAAACGGAAGCAAAAGCACGTGGTTCGTTTGGCATGAATAAACACCCCAGCCGTTGCCGTGGAACTAAGCAAGCTTTCGCTTGTAAATCTTATGCATTAGCCTTGCGTCCTTGTGACTTGCTGCTGTCATTGTTATGTTGTAATGTATTGCATTGTGATTGCGTTGCAATCATAATTTCCTTATGCTCTATGGCTCTCATCGTTGACAGCGCTTCATGCATAATATTACCTTATTGTGCTGCTCTACCGGCAACTTGCTAGTAAGCTAATTAACCAGAGTGAAAGATCTTTCCTAGTGAACTCCTTTAGTAAATGATACGACCTCGATTATTTCAAATTTTCTCATTTACTCGAGGATTTGTTTCAATTAGAAGCATAGATACAATCATTATTCCTTTTTTGAAAATTAATACATATACAAATAATAAGTAGACAAAAATTATTATAAGAATTATTAAGAAACGAAATGTATTTGGTTCATTTTCAGAATTTAATTTTGTATTGAAAATATTCACAAAGAGCTTGCATAGGCACTTTCTTGGAATCTTGAACTTTAAATTGATTTATCATAAGTGTAGTTTTGTGAAGATTTTATGTTATCAAAATCATGTCAACTTTTATATATTTCCAAGTACATCATTGTTTGCTGTAACCGCCATTTTCTATAAGACATATTTATACAAATTTAGTAATCGACAAGTTTATTAAACCTCCAGCTTCAAATTAACATACTATGCTACTAACATAAATGTTATTTTGAAATATAATTTTTTATGAAGTACTGACAGACTCTATATGTCTCGAAAGCCTCGACCGTTTTTCATAACTGATCATCAGCCATTTTGATCACATTCATAAAGAGTATACAAGCGTATTCATCTTCACATATTATCTTCACAAAGACTTTGCGACTGTCAATTCCATCAAACGATCTCCAAATCGATAACTATTTTCAAGCCTTATTCATTAACGCCTGTCAAAATCTACCGCTCGTCAGTGACACCAGCCCTAAATAGATTCCTCAGCGTATAAATCGATACGTCACTAACACAATCGTTACGAATTACATAGAAAATGTTGGCTATCGGCAGCAATTGGATATTAGAGTCGGTATGTGGGTGGATTTTGAAAGGAGACATATAGCGGAATTTGTTGCGGACGATTAATGGAAGGAAGCGAGGTAACGGTCGATCGCGTTGTTCGGTTTTCAGCTTCATTTTCAGAATTTAATTTTGTATTGAAAATATTCACAAAGAGCTTGCATAGGCACTTTCTTGGAATCTTGAACTTTAAATTGATTTATCATAAGTGTAGTTTTGTGAAGATTTTATGTTATCAAAATCATGTCAACTTTTATATATTTCCAAGTACATCATTGTTTGCTGTAACCGCCATTTTCTATAAGACATATTTATACAAATTTAGTAATCGACAAGTTTATTAAACCTCCAGCTTCAAATTAACATACTATGCTACTAACATAAATGTTATTTTGAAATATAATTTTTTATGAAGTACTGACAGACTCTATATGTCTCGAAAGCCTCGACCGTTTTTCATAACTGATCATCAGCCATTTTGATCACATTCATAAAGAGTATACAAGCGTATTCATCTTCACATATTATCTTCACAAAGACTTTGCGACTGTCAATTCCATCAAACGATCTCCAAATCGATAACTATTTTCAAGCCTTATTCATTAACGCCTGTCAAAATCTACCGCTCGTCAGTGACACCAGCCCTAAATAGATTCCTCAGCGTATAAATCGATACGTCACTAACACAATCGTTACGAATTACATAGAAAATGTTGGCTATCGGCAGCAATTGGATATTAGAGTCGGTATGTGGGTGGATTTTGAAAGGAGACATATAGCGGAATTTGTTGCGGACGATTAATGGAAGGAAGCGAGGTAACGGTCGATCGCGTTGTTCGGTTTTCAGCACTGTGTTAGCGTGGCCGGAGGTGGCGGCGGTGGCGGAGGCGGAGGCAGCGGCGGCGGAGGAGGTGGCGGTGGAAGCGGTGGCACGGTCGGCGGCGGTCGGCTGAACCTGCACCTTCGTCCTTGCGGAGGCGGCGGTGGCGGCGGCAGCATCGCCGGAAGTGACAGCGCTTCGGATTACCCGCCAAGTGCTGCGGCTGCGAGGAGCAGGGAGGCGGCGGCGGCGGCGCTGCACGCGGCAAGAACCCTGTTGGGCGCGGGGGTGGCCAACCCTTGCTCGCCCACCCCCGAACCGCCCTTCTGGAAGATGCCACATAAAGGTTGGTCGAACTTGTTTGTTTACCTTCGCCCCTCATCTTTCTTAATCCTCCTTGCTGTAACCGTAACGTGGAAGGTAAATGTACGAGATCCATGTTATGAGTTATGACAATTAGTGATCAATTAAATGGTGTAAACAAAGATATCTGTTGGGCAAAATCTTGGTAAGGTTCAATCGTTAAATCATAGGGTATAAGTACTTTATGAAGAGTGGATCTAGGTTGTTCTGGGATTAGGACGGAAATTTTGAACTCTTTGGGTTCAGGTCTCCTTGTGATACGGATATTTAAGAATTTAGGGGTTTGAACATTTTTGAAGCATTTGGGAACGTGGAAGTATGGGAGTGTGGGGATTTAGGAATTTAGGAACATGAAGATATGTGGAATTTGAGAACTTGAAGATTGAACAATGTGTAGGTTTGGAAATGTAGAAATGTAGGAATCTGGAAATTGGGGAATGTGTAGATTTGAGGATTTAGAAGTTGGGAAATGTGTAAATTTGAAAATGTGAAAATTGGAGAACTTGTAGTAATATGGTAATTTGAAATTTTGGAACTGTAGTCACTTTGGAATTCACAAACTTGAAAATATAGTCATTTGTGAATTTGAGTCTAAGAATGTACAAATATGGAATTTTTGGTAATCAACTAGAGTTTGGCAATATGACTAAAGTCAGCACTACTATCAGTACACGAAAATTAAAAATCATATTTAACTCATACAAGCTATTTTCCTATTCAAAAAGCCATGAAATTTCCCAAAATAAATATTTATACGTAACTGGTATCCCATCTCCTACACCGCCATTTTTCCTAAAGAACCATAAACGTTTCCCAATGTGAATGTTTTTACTAATCAAACAATTAATTCTTAATATTACTTTTTTTATTAATTTATTACGTTGTAAAGAGATTAAAACATGAAATCACTGTGTGTAGATTATTTTTATCTCGCTACGCTGTTTTTTGTGTCAGTATAAGATTTATATGCACATCCTATCGACCGGTTTTTGTTCGAACGCCACTCTCGCGAATAGATTATTCTAGTACTAGTTCACTTATCGCTTACGAAGCGGTTTCAAAGGAGTACAGCCGTTGTGTTGTATCGAGCATAGCAGTTTTATCGTTTTTTTTTTCCTTGGCGTTTTATCACGTGTACCGTTGACACGTATATAGGCCTCGTGTCGTGTAAACAAATTTAACTCGTGGAAATAGTAACTCGATCTAATCCGCTTTTACCTTATTCGCATAAAGAAACACTCGTATGCTATCGAACGACAATTATTATTATCGTGTTGCTATTGTATTTCTTTCTACTCTCGTTTCTTTGTTAGGAGAGTTTTATTTTTATTGGAAGTAGGTGAATTTAATATGTGGGGTGTTATGAGGGTTATGGGGCGGCGTTGCAGATTTATGATAAGTAATAGATTCCCAAATTCCTAAATTCCAAGATTTTCAAATTCCAAGATTCCCAAATTCCAAGATTTCCAAATTCCAAGATTCCCAAATTCTAAGACTTCCCAATTCCAAGATTCCCCAATTTCAAGATAACCAAATTCCAAGATCCTCTAATTCAAAGATTCCCAAATTCCAAGATTCCCCAATTCCAAGATTCCCAAACTCCAAGATCCCCAATTCCAAAATTCCCCAATTCCAAGCTTCATAAATTCCAAGATTCCCAAACTCCAAGATCCCCCAATTCCAAGATCCTCTAATTCCAAGATTCCCAAATTCCAAGATTCCCCAATTCCAAGATTCCCAAACTCCAAGATCCCCCAATTCCAAGATTCTCAAATTCCAAGATCCTCTAATTCCAAGATTCCCAAATTCCAAGATGCCCCAATTCCAAGATCCCCAAATTCCAAGATCCTCTAATTCCAAGATTCCCAAATTCCAAAATTCCCCAATTCCAAGATTCCCAAACTCCAAGATCCCCCAATTCCAAGATTCCCAAATTCCAAGATCCTCTAATTCCAAGATTTCCAAATTCCACGATTCCCAAATTCCAAAATTCCCAAATTCCAAGATTTTCAAATTCCACGATTCCCAAATTCCAAGATGCCCCAACTCCAAGATTCCCAAATCCCTAGATCCCCGAATCCTCAGATTCCCAAATTCCTAAATACCCAAATTCCTAGATCTCGGAATCCTCAGATTAACATACTAGCTCCCCAAGTCTCAACATCCCCCAATCTCCAATTTCCAAATTCTCACACCCCAAATCTCCAGATCCCCAAATCTGCACTCACCCATATTTCTAAACCCCCAACATTCCTATACTTCCAACCCCTTCCAAATCCCTACATTCCTCTTCCTCTTCACCCGCACCTATTTCCACCTAATCTATACAATTTCTTGTGTATCCCAAAAAACAAATATACACTTCACACCCAGTTATAAAACATACCAGTTATAATGTAAAAAAGATCGAAAGCAAATGGTGATAATAAATCTTTCGCAGACTGTCCTCTCGAGGACAGGTTGTTCGTGAAAGACAAAATGGAATTGAATCTTTAATCGTGAGGCTCCGGGCACCGAAGGATGCCCGATTATCTGTCATTCAGATACCGTATCTGCTCGATCCGGCTTTTATATCTCGTCGACTGTGCTAATAGAAGGCCGTTACAATATGGTCGATCGTCGGTCGCCTTTCGTATTGTCACCAATCGTTAACGTCAACTTTGTGGACAGTGTGCCGTGAAATCCGAGCCCCATGGATTTTTTTTTCATCGATATGTTCAGAACCGACGATGCGTCCTATCCCGGGATGGATTTCGAGTTGTCTCTAAATCGGACGGAAAGGGTACGAAAGTTCCGTGAATTGACCTGAAGCTGACCTCCATATTTTGTTTAATACAAAACTGTTTCGTTTCAATTTTTTAGGATAATAATTTTTCAAATTTTTAATTCTGTTGAATTCTTGTTGCAATTATGATGGAAACTTCTTGTGTTGGAAGTAATATGGGGGTGGTATTTTTATTCTAATCTTGTCAACCCTCGACAAAATAATATTCTGAAATCGATCATGTTGACTAAAATTGCAAATCAATCAGATTATATAAAAAATATTGATAACATCATGAGGTATATTTTGAATAAATTTGAAAATTTAAATTCCAACCCCAGCAACGTTATTTTACTACACAAGTCCACAAAAGTTTCCATACTTGTAATGACTCGACACAATACGTCAAACACTATCGAGCAGCCGAACGGTTATCGAACAGATTGTAACACCTTTGCACGTCGAAAAAGTGCAATAAGGGTGTTGGTAAGATGGAGTATTCGTGGCTGTAACAGTGTATCCTTTCTAAACGCGTCTCAATTTACATCTTGTTACCTTTCCGTTAGCGTGCTGCTCCGCTAGGATCATAGGTGGTTCGGATCACACCGCAGCCTTCGGCTAAATTTGTGACCTTCGCAATGAGTTATACGAGGGGCGAGCAAATACGTGTACGCTTATGGGCTTAGGTGGGGCTCGCGGTTACCCCCGGGGTTAGCCTGTAACCCGACACGCCTTTCCTTGGCTTCTGTCGAGCCAACAGCCCCTTCAACGAAGACTCGACGGCGAAGGGTGGCGCCTTTTACCGAAAAAGCCTCCGACGATTCGGTGCTACCCCGAACTATACAACACTCGGCACAATCGGGTGTATTGCTTCGGGTCAGACCTGGATCAGGCGTTGGATTTAATAAGCGGGATCACCTACACCGCCAATTTGTCTCTCCTTTGTGCCGGTTTATCGTTGCGTCCCTCTAAATCGTTACGCTACTAAATTCCTTCGTTTCCTCCATGCATTTTCTTCTCTTTCTACCTTACGAATTTTCGCCGTTTATTTCTTTCGTGTACGTTTTATTAATTTTTTGGGTACGTTTTATTATTTCTTTCATATACGTTTCGTGTGATAGTTCAAGTTTAAACCTATATGTACACTACCGTCTATAAGTATGCGGACACTTGATTTCGTTACATAAAACACAGTTGAACTTTGTACGAAAGGTATTTAGGGTTATCATATCATTTGTAATAATTATTATTATCTTTTTTGAGGTGTCATAACATAATAGAATTAATTTATAAGTACAAATTATACAATGGGAGTGTGAAAGTAAAATTCATGTCCAGAAGTACAAAAACCATATTTGTGAATACAATGAAACGCTTTCGATTCTAAAAAAAAATTTAATTTCTACGGTGTTTCATTTCTATGGTGCAGAACATATTCAGAGGGTTTTTCGATATGTTTCAAGTGTTTTTAAACTGTTGATAGATGTTTAGGTTCACTCAATGGAGATAAGAATGAAGGTAACGCAATGCACTCGACAGTTTCAGTTTAGTTCGTCTGTAGCTTCTTTTCCATCGAGATATGAGTTCCAAACGAGATTTATTAATCGAAAAACGTTCCAGTATTCTGACCTTCGCAGAAAAAAAAATCGATTTTAGTTACTGTTGTAGATACTTGAATAACTTTCATGCAACGCGAATGCATATTTCGCTTGTGTCCGGATACGTATGGACGGTAGTGTACATCGATTCAAATATTTCGGATAAAAATGTATCAATGTACGATGTTAAAAAGATTGCGCAGACATTTCAAACTGCGATATTTTTTACAAAAACTAGCAAGGTTTCATATTCTGGGATTTCGATGCCCCGCGTGATGGCTTGTCCTCGCAACGAACGAGTTTGAAGGGAAACAGTAAACCGGCGAAAATTCCATTTTGTTCTAACCTCGGTCAGAGCTTGAATTTTTGAAATCTAATTCCAGATTTGTAATTAGCGATCAGAAAACGTGGAGATGCAAATTTTCATCGAAATTCGCTGGCTGAGCAAAATTGCTGCACTCAAAGGGTGAGCTAATCAGTGGCTCTAAGACATCTGTGAAAAATATGTACATAAAATATAATTCATAAAATAAATAATATGATTTATATATCGCCATATAACATACGCAAAAATTGCAAAACAATTATTATACAGCAAAATGACAATTACTACATAATTTT